GCCTTGCCTTCATCCCAGCCTGTGCAGAGAACAGCCGGAGCGGTTTGTAGGAGAGAATCCATCTCCCTGCTGCTGCTGCTGCTGCTCCTCTCCAGGAGGGTCTGGCTCTCAGGGCACAGAGCAGGTCCTTGGTGCAGTTGGGAACAGCGGTTTCATCTGCAGAACCAGGCCCAGGCTGTTTGAAAAACTGCAGCGGTTGTGTTCTCATGAGGGTAATCGTGTCCTCTGGAGGGACTGGATTCTCTTGGACCACTTTGCAGACAGACCCTGTTTCTTCTTGCTGCCTTAGCTGGAGTGGTAGCGTTGGTTTCATGAGCAGAGCTGGATAAAGCACTGCTCACCCACACCCTGAGTTGTATTTTCCCATTGGTTGCTGTGGTAGGTTAAAATCATAGAATCATAGTGGCTCGAAAAGACCTTAAAGAGCATTGAGTCCAACCATAAACCAAGGCAAGACCATAGGCAAGAACAGATTTAGAAGAATTACGGGCACATTTCTGGCTGGTGGCAGAGGGACCCCAGAAGCAGAAGCTCAGATGCACCCACATAGATGCACTTACCAGACCATGGGTCTTCACCTCTTCGTTTAAGAGACTAGAAAGGCAGTGACAAAAAAACACTTTTTTAAAAATTTTTTTATTTTTTTTTAGTCATGAAACAGTTTCCTTAACTTATGTACTCTAAAAGAGGACTATTAGAATAGGTAATGGCAACAGGTTGGAGAATCTTCAGCAGCTTTAAAGAAGCTGATTTTCATAAACTTATAAAAAAAAGACAAATATAGACTAATATATTTTCCACTTTTGAAACTTTTTCTGATATGAAGCAACCATAGTTTTATGACCCTGAGGGATACTCTGGCCACTTGAGGTAGGGCAATGCCGCTCCATTTCAAAGCAAAAAAAACAAACTGCCTGCATTTTAGGCTTGTGTCCTGTGTCTCTTGCCTTCCCCACAGGGAAAGCTTCCCACAGCAGTCGCAGGAATCCTGTGGGAGGGTAGAGATGGTTGGCAGAGTTTGACTTACAGAATTCTGGAGAAGCACTGCTAGTCTGGGGACTTGTGATTGTAAGGAACATATGTTCCAGTATATCCCTGGGAAAAGCTGGCTGGCTGAGCAGTGGGGAGTTAGTACATGCTAGTGTCCCTGGGATGTCTCCATCAGAAGGACTGGGAGAAAGAAGGTTTCTTCATTATTTTTTAAAAACTTTCCTGCAGGTCAACCAAGATTTGATTTCCTGTTGGTGGAGATACTACATATTAATCATTAGAAGATGAAATTTATCGCTATGTTTGGAGGAGAATGGAGGACTACAGGCTTTATATCACCAAAATCCTCCTTACATCCCCAAAGCTGGGCTTGTATGGAGGTTAGGATGGGGCTGGGCACCTGCAGTTCCCTGCTGGGCTGTGGCTCCATAGGAATAGCTGGTATGGCTCTAGGAGCAGGGTGGGCATGTTGCCATCCCTCCTTGTCCTGGAGCCAGACCCTCAGCATCACTGAATTCAGGGACTAAGTGAGGTCTTGTTTACGTTTTACAGTGACACAGTTGATATACTGTGACACAAAACCTCCCACTGGCTCAGCCATGGGTGTGAGGAGGTGAAGGGGCTGCTCGGCCATTCATCCGTCGTGCCCGGCATTATCACTGCGTGGAAACACAGACACCATGTTTGATATTAAGGGGCAGGAAGGCACCAGGCGGGTTTCTCTCCAGATGCGGGTCTGCATCTCTCTGTGCCTCAGTTTCTTCACAAAGGAAAAGACAATACTGAGTGTCTTGGCGAAGGGCTTTGAGACCTCCAGGGTCTATAGATTTGGGATGTTTATGCCAGTTATCCCTAGGAACTTGACATGGAGTTAGGAATTGTCCTAAAGCAGTTTGAGGGATAAATCTGAAATCCTTAATCCCACATCACCTGGGGATTTTAGAAAGTTTCTTTGCAGCTGACCACATTTGCAGTTTCAGATGGATATTTTATTTTGTGTTGCCTCCCCATAAAGCCACTCCTTTCTCAAGGTTTAATCAGAAAGACTGATTCTTTCTTTATTAGGCATATATTTAAGGTGGGTTTCTTTATTTCTTCCTCCTTCAACTGCTGCCATCCAGAGGCCAACTCTTTTTGTTTAAATGATATATTGTTATTGACCTTCTTCAGCCTTGTTTCATTTTTGTCCTCTGCTAGAGAGTCAAAGCCTCTTTATTTGTGACTCAGTACTGACTCTGCAGATGGTTCATATGGCCCTTACAGCAGTTTTCTCTGGCAAGAACTTGTATTTTAAAGAGCAGAAGATCAGATTTCAGTGTGTTATGTGGTGGGAAGAGGCAGCTTTACAATGCTGTATGGATTAAGAAATTACGGGCCATTGTTTTGCCCTCGCTGCCTGGAATTGGCTGCATATTTCAGGGTGACACAGGTCCCTTTCCTGGTCCCTTTGGTTGGTCTCTAGCACTACGAGAGCATCTCCTGTGTGCTGGGCCAGGTGTCTCCTGGGCTTCCATCCCTGTCACACTAGTGACTCAAGTGGGGCAAAGCAGGTTTGCACCCAGAGGGGCTCCCACTCTGTGAGGGGTTCACAGATCCCTCGTGTCCCCTCTCCCCCCCGTTGCTTTGGCATGTCACCCTGCTCTGTTGCCAGCAGAGGTGCTCCTGCCCCAGCCCCATGTGCTGCCCTCGGAGGGTCTTGTGCACACCCTGTGCCATCCCTCTAACCCTGGGAGCAGGGCTGGCCCCATCCTCATGGCTCCATCAGATGTCACCAGCTGGGGATGGACACCACATCTTCTCACCTCTCTTCTCTCGATTGCAGGGTTCCCCGCTGAAGGGTGAGACATGCAGTAGGAGCCAGTGCTTCCCACCAAAGAGCGAGACTCCATCGTGCTACACGGCCCAGGGTGCCACAGGAGGGACAGGACATGTGCCTTATCGGCTGGC